AGGAATTTGGGTAAAAATTTTGAGGACTTGGTTTATACTGACGTAGCCATCAATGATTTCACAGGTGGTGTTAGCAAATCAAAATGAGTGCTGCCAGTTGCACTTACTGTTGGCAGCAAGACATCAATGAGTGCTTTCTCTGTTGTAAACTCTTCTACAACTTATAATGCATTACTAGGACGTGATTGGATCCATTAGAATTTGTGTGTTCCATCTAGTCTCCATCAAAGACTCATTTTTTGGAATGGAGGCAAAATTGAGGTGATTCATGTTGACAGCAAACCATTGTTAGCCAATTCCAATAAGGTGGAAGCACGGTACTATGATGAAGACATAGGAACCATCTCTTTGGCATGGATAGACAAGGAAGACCTCGTGAAATCACTGCTTACAACAAGCCTACCTTGGCTAAGTATGTGGTTGACGAGGTATGCAATGAACTCTTGCGACCTACTACCATTATTTCATATAGGTCGCAAGCGGAGCCCAAAATTGAGGAGTTGTTATGAAGAAGTCCAAGAAAAACAAAGAAAAAGGGAGGCCATATCTAAAATTCTAAAGAAATTAGCAACCTATTTTGCTGAAAGAAATACATAAGCAAATCTGTTGGAGGTGGTCCATGAAGGTGAGAAGGACACCTATACCGACGGAGTGACAATGGAAGAGTTAGATTTGGCCCCTACGAAGTTGGATGACCTTAGGGCCGATATACAGGATCCATCGAAGGAAGTTAATCTAGGAACGAAGGCAAAGCCATGCATTACTTTTGTCAATGGCTTGCTGTCGCCAGAGTTACAAGATAAAATAATCTATTTATTGCATGAATTCAAAGATTGCTTTGCCTGAGATTATTCTGAGATGCTAGGTTTAGACTGACTTTTTGGGTTTTCTAGTTCATGAACGAGGCCTAGAGGTGGAGAAAAACAAAGAAAGGGCCATAATTGAAGCTCGGCCACCACAAAATAAAAAGGAATTACAAAGGTTTCTTGGTTAGGTTAATTTCCTAAGGAGGTTTATCTCTAATTTAGTGAGTAAAACTCGTGTCTTTTCACCTCTTTTAAAGTTGCAGCTTGATGCAGATTTTAAATGGGAGAGGCAGCACCAAGCCACCTTTGATGCCATCATGGAATACTTGTCCAAGCCACTTGTGTTGGTTTCTTTAGTTAAGAATAAACCCTTATTGCTGTATATATCTACTGTATATAAGTCAATTGGTTGTCTACTAGTGCAAGAGAATAATAATAAACAAGAACAAGCTTTTTATTATTTGAGTAGAGCTTTAAATCCGACCGAAGTGAAATATTCTTCGGTTGAAAATTTTTGTTTGGTTTTGTTCTTTACAGCAATAAAATTGAGGCACTACTTATTGTATTCGAAGGTGTTTGTTGTTTCAAAAACTAATGTCATAAAATATATGCAGTCGCGACCACTTTTAAGAGGTCGTATTGGTAAGTGGATTCTTGCACTTACTGAATTTAATCTGAGATATTTGCCTAAGAAAGCCATCAAAGGATAGGCTTAGCAGACTTTTTAGCAGAGCATCCTTGTTTAGATGTTAATGCTGATGAAGATAAGGGAATCAATCTCTTTTCTATTGATTTGGTTCCTTGGAGGCTTATTTTTATGGGTCTAGCACTAATCAAGCCTCTGGGGCTGGAATTATTATTGTTTCTCCAGATGGCATAAAAACCCAATGGTGTTTTCAGTTGGATTTTGAATGCACCAATAACCAAGCAAAATATGAAGCTTTGGTAATTGGCCTTAAGTTGTTGGTAGAGTTGAAGGTGCCATCGGTTGAAATTGTGGGTGATTCTCAATTAGTTCTCAAGCAATTGAGTGGCGAATACAAGTGTACAAGCGTGGTTTTTTCTTCATATTTCGCCATTGCCATCCAACTATTGGAGTAATTTGATGATGTCTCCTTGAAGCATATTCCTCGCATAATGAATGTCGAAGCAAATGAACTTGCATAGATTGCTTCAGGTGTAAAAATGCCTGAAGGCATCTTGGAGAAAGTGATCGTCATTGAAAAACGTATGCTGCCTTCAATTCATCAAAGAAGGATAACGGTGGAAGCATGCTCATTAGATGTCACGCCTACAGACTGGAGGCATCCAATAATAGAACATTTGAGGAATCCTAGTTCTAAAACATCAAGGAGAATGAGGATGCAAGCTTTAAACTATGTGCTATTGGGGGATGTCTTGTATTGTAAAGGGCAGGATGAATTATTATTACGCTGCCTCAGTCTTGATGAAAGTTGCCATGTGATGTTAGATGTTCATAATGGTATCTGTGGTGCTCATCAGGCAGGTATTAAGATGAGATGGCTAATTCAAAGGCATGGTGTAATACCCCAAAAATTGGTGATATTTTAGCATTAAATAAGGGACTTATTTGAGGGAAAATATTGTTTTGGGGGTTAATCATAAAATTTTAAAAAGTTGAGGGGCTAAAAAGAAAGGAAATTTGGATAAGGATCAAGGCTGATATTTTTGTCCTCAGCCACGTGTTTTGCTTTTCTTCATCTTCATTTTTCTTCTCCCCGATGCTCTGCCTCCCCGACCAGCCCCCCTAAGCCACCGACTTCTTCCTCCTTTGAAAACCAGTAGAAGACTTGAAATTTCTTCTTTCTTTCTTGTTCAAGAACTGATTTTGGGGCTTAGAACTCTCATTAAACCCAGAATTTTCCCAAGATCTGCTCGGTCTCTTCCTCCCCTGTCCATTGGGTTCTGCTGGGTTTGAATCTTTCGGCTTTTTCTGGTAAGAAGCAGCCTCGAATTCATCCTTTCTCTCTTCATTTGGCTTGGGTTACTCTAATTTTGTTATTGGTTCTTGAATTTCTGGAGTTTTCCATGAGTTTCCCCCTTGGATCCCGTCGGCTTCCTCACCAGCCAAGCTCGGGTTCTGCTGGCTGGAATTCTGGTAAGTTGCCGGCTTTTCCAAGCTTAAAAATTACCCATTTAATTGCTGGGTTTTGTCCATTAGTTGATGCTCTGTGTTGTCCGAATCTGCTGGGATAGGGGATGAATTTGGTAGCCCTTTTAAATGTGTTTGTGCTTGGTTTATGTAGGAATTTTGTTAATTAGGCTGTTGTGATGTTGTGTAGGAGTAATCCCGTGGCTTAGCCATTGTTGGCCAAAGCCGTGGGTCTCCATTGCTTGTCCAGGAAATTGGAATGAATTTTGGTAGCTTTAAGCTATGTTTTAAGTGTGGTTTAAGTAGAAAAGTAGCTTGTTATGATTGTTGTGAGATTTTGGAGAGAAACCCCGTGAATTGGCTATGTTTTGCCCATTTTGGAAGTTGAAGTTACTGTTCACGGTGCTGTTCACGATACTGTTCATAGGCACTGTTCACACACGGGCACTGTTTACACATCGAGGGTTAACGAATAACGGGGATTTAAAGGTTTAGTTTGTGATATAAGAATGAATTTGGAGATGTCCGGTTATGTGGAGATTGATAGAAATGGCACTGTGATGGGCAGTGCTAATGATGATTTCACTGTGAATTTGTGGTGGTATGGTTATTAATCGTGGAATATTGTGATTAGGTTTTGATTGTTCTGTCACCGTAGCACTTGGGTTAGCCTTCTGTTATGTGCGAGTAAGGTAAGTAAATTATGGTAAAGCCCTTCGATTTTAAAGTATGTTTTAAACTGTTTTTTAGATGGTGGCAAGGTTTAAATTGATTTTACTAGCATCTGAGTGTGATTAAACTAAAATGAAAGTCTTGATGATTGTTATGAGAATTTCCTTGTTTTTCTGAAATTGAGCATGATTGGAATGAAAATGAGGAGTTTCCTTGTTTTACTGAAAATGAGCATGATTGAGAAATGAAAATGAGAATTTCATTGTTTTTCTGGAATAGAGCATGCCTATTTGGGAATTGACTAAACTGCTTTGATGAACTGAGAATTTTGTAAATGTTGAGTTTTCTGTTAAATCCATGCCTGCATGGAAATTTTTCGGTTTGTTCTGAAATTCGGGATTGATTGTGAAATTTGGGTTTTTCTGTAAATCCTGCATGGTTTTGTCTCGGATATAGTTATGACTATTGATGATCCTGCTAGTGGGGGTTAAACACTAGCACATGTCGGCGCATGTCGAGATGTTATTGATGATCCTGCTAGTGGGGGTTAAACACTAGCACATGTCGGCGCATGTCGAGATGTTATTGATGATCCTGCTAGTGGGGGTTAAATGCTAGCAGATGTCGGCCCATGTCGATATGTTATTGATGATCCTGCTAGTGGGGGTTAAATGCTAGCAGATGTCGGCCCATGTCGATATGTTATTGATGATCCTGCTAGTGGGGGTTAAACGCTAGCACATGTCGGCGCATGTCGATATGTTATTGATGATC